TATATGTAAAGTTAATTACATATTTAATTATAATTAGATTTAAAATATGTAAATAGAACAAATTAAAATGTCTAATTTTTTTTTTAAATATAATTTTTAAATTAAATCTTATAAAAATTTGATAAATTCTAATTTTTTATATTTAATTACTATTCACAAGCTTATATAAAAATATATATACATTAGGTATTAATACATATATATACATATATATATATACTGTATAGTATATATAAATGTAATAGAGTACACTTCCTGATTTGCGAGATTTAATGAGAATCAAAGACATAAAAAAAATGGAGTTTTAGAAATTTATTTTTATAATTAAGAAAATATATACATACCGTAAGTGTAAACCGAATAATTTCATAAGCTATTTGTAACTAGAAATTAAGGAAATACGTCACACTCACTTGATAACTAGATTCGATTCCTGGACAAAAATACAACACTGTCTTACTATAATTAGAAGAATTTTACTTCCGTTTTCTTTTTGTGGTTACTCGATTGATTACCAAATCGTTCTTCCTGACCCTAATTTCATTTAAAGTTCTGTTACATATTTAATACCAGAAATGACTAGTTTTCTATAAACTCGAATTGTTAAATATAAAAATATAATTTCGTATGTTTTACAAGCAACGCCTTAAAAGTAGAATCCAAATTGTGGAACGTTATGTCTGTCCACTGCGAGGTCAACCTCTTTTAGAAGGTTATCGTCTATTGAAATTTTAATTATTTCTTGTGTTATTGATCTTTACGTATGAAATAAATTATATTATTAAATATTACTCAGATTAATTTATAAATCAATGCTAATTCTGTACGAATTATAGATTAAATATCTGAAGATAAACCAATTTTTTTTTCTATAGAATTAATTAACAAAGGCTAAACAATGGAATATTTCGTTAAAAAAAAATAAGAAAAATTTGAAATTTTTGCATACTATTTTAACTATTTTCTAGTTTAAAATATACAAGCAAATCATTGTTTAAATGGGGATAAAAATAAATAAATAAATTTACAATAAGAAAATGGGAAATTACTTTTATTTATTTTGAATTGTAAAAAATGAAGATAAATGATTTTATGGGTGTATCTTTTTTTTTTAACAATGTGATAAAGAAGAACATTAGGGAAAAAGTTAGAAATTCACATTCGGTGCAAGGACATAATAGATCGTGCTATACCTGAAGACTTGTTTCTAAACTGGTACGTCATAACACGAACACGTGGTCCTTGATTTCCCCCTTTAAGTATTTCAGGCGGAAGAAGGGGAAGTATTAAAAGGTAGAACAAAACCCGATCAAATCAGTTGAAGTGTATCTTTTGGTGTTGTATCTTTAGTACTTGTGGATTGATGATTTAACTATTGTGTTAACATGTTGAAAAGAGTAAGTCCATTATATAAAACTTATCTAACTTTAAGTAAGATTAACTTCATGTTAGAATTTATTTAAGAACTGAAATGTATTTTATATTATCTAAATTCTAAATCATAAAAATTTTATTACATATATTGTTTTGTGAATATTATATAATAATTTTTTAAATTAATTCTTTAATTATGTAAGGAATTTATTTTTATGAAGAATTTCTAAATTTTGGTTTTTTAAAAAATTCAGGCCTGAAATTATGGTTTATTTTCATGTTTTTTTTTATGTTAAAAGACGTCTTCATTATTACTAAAATTCCTTATTAATTTCACGAAATAATTCCTTCATTCTTTTTAAAAAATTGAATTAAGAATTTATTTATTATTATTACTCGAGGCAATTTATTATTTATTCTCAGAACATTTTTATTTATTTCGAATTAAGAAATACATCTTTTTATTTATTCATATTTAATTCGGTAGTACTGTACCTACAAAGACCTGTTACGTAGGTGACATATAAGGAGTACTTAATGAAAAATATATCTATGAAAACATAGACTTTACTGTTTAAAAAATTATATATATAAAGTATAGTTAACTCGTTTTATTCAAAATTAAAATTAGGTCAGTAAATACGTGTTTTCTATTTTATATTTTTAAATATTAAAAAACATTAATTTTGTTATTTAGGTAAAACTATAAATAACTTTATTAAAGGTAACAGATAAAATAGTAAATTGGAATAGTGTAAAAGATCATTAAACTGATTTTAAGGCTTTTATATACTGAATATATATTTTTCTCCATATAAAGTATATTTTCACAGCTTCAGAAGAAACTTAAAAAACATAAAAATCTATTCATAATCATTCTTTCACACCTCCGAATCCAATAAAATAGCACTTCAGGAGGCCTTTACATCGACAAGTTACACTCTGGATTAGATTTAGGTGGATGTAAAGGGGCAGTTGCACTCACGTTCTGGGATTTTTCTCGAGTAAAGCGGGAAAAACCACCAGAAATAAAACGTTTTTTACCTCAGGTAGTAAAAAATTTTGTTTCCTTTCTTCACCTTTTCTAATGATTTCTAGATACGCTGTTGATCTTACACGAAACATATTTTATGAAAATAGATTAGTATTTTTATAATAAATTATTCTAGTTATATTTATAACAAAATATTATTCATTGTTCCTTTTATATTTCTTAAATTGTTTTTATTTCATAATTGTTCTCTCTTTATTGTTTAGTGCTCTACTATAAATGACACAGATTTAAAACGAAACTCAAGGCAACGTCTTTTATCTTATTTTCACTTCTTTGATATCAGATAGACCTTGATCAAATTTTAACTTCCGTTGTATCAAAACAACTAAAAATTTTAAAAAATATATCTCATAATGAATGATTTTCTTTTTTACCATTAAAAACTTTCATTTACATATTATAATTTTTGATAATTCGTATAAAGGAAAAGTTCAGAAAATTTTAAATTATTAAAGGTATATGTATTTCTGGATCCCTAATTAATGAATTTTATTGTTTAAATTTGTAAATATTATCAGTGTTTTTAATCTGAAATTTAAAATATATCTGCTGTCAATGCAAATATTCCTGTAATTGTATTATATTTTCAACAATTCTTAAATATTTATCGAATATTTCTAGAATAAAATTGTTTTTAAAAAGGTAAAGATAAATTATAACTATTAAAATATTATTATTTTTTTTATTTATTAATATT